CGGTTCTCGCTGAGCCATGACTTTCCCCAGATCAGCTCCATAACCTGTTCCTGTGAGTTGTGGACAACCGGGGATTTAGCCGATCAAGGATCTGATAGCCCGGCGACACTCGGCTCAGGGTCGTTAGAGTGGCGCTGAGGGCTCATGATGTCGTAACCGCCAGCGTGTGGTCAATGGCAACTCCATCCAGCTGGTACTCCTGTTGGATTCTGGGCGTCATCGGAACAATGTCAACAGCGGCGTCATCGGCACCGTCATCGGGGCACCGTCATCGTCGCCGCGGGTGGCCGTGTGGCGACGCCGTCATCGCCTGTGAGCGGTGACAACTGACGGTGCTCTGTTCTGCTCCACTGCTGATGGTGCTCACTGCTCATGGTGTTGACACTGCTGACGGTGCAACTTACCTAAACTTTTGTCCATGCCGCCATGGATGGCGATCTTCCGTTAGTGACTAGATGGTCACGGGTTGCGTTCCCGCTGCATTATGGTAACGCAAGCGGCCACCCAGGGTTGCTGTCGGCCTGAGTTAGTGGAGATCTTACCGTGGTGAATGGACGTTAGTTTGGCCATCGATACCGTGGGGCGGAGGCCGGGTCTTTGGCGTGCCGTCTGATTGGGATAAATGAGGGTGATTTATGAATTTTGATTAGGTGGTGTCGTTTTTCCTTGTCGCCAGAGAATCTGCATAAATTCGCGTCAGCCAAGCCCTGGCATGCTGTGGCCACGTCCCGCGTCCGTAATCAATTTTGTGCATAAAACCATAATCCTCTGACGGAAACTTCATTGGAAATGTTTGAATTAGCTCCTTGCATCTTGCTAAATGGCACATTTACGATCGACTATAATTTTCAGTGTCTCAAGGGTCACGGCTTCCTTGCTCGTGGTTCTGCCCCGTTGGCCATTTCATCTCGGGTGGACAGGAGAGGAGCCGGACACGAGTGACGTAACCGTGACGTCATAATGACGCCCTGCCAGGGGGAGGCACTCGCCTTGGCCGTATATGGGCCAGAATGTCTAACGATTTCCGCCATGTTGTGTATACCAAAGTCTTGAAAAGTTGATCACTGCAATCAAACTGCAAGCATGAAGCAGCAGCACTTTTGAGTAGTGTACCTCTCACTAAACTGCACCTCTGCTACCGTATATGCGATTTATATTTCTGGTATACACAACATGGCGGAAATCGATAGACAAAAACAAGTCACCAATGCTCCTTCCAGTATATATTAGAGTTCAGTGCGCCCTGCCTATCTGTAAGAATCTTGGCCCTGCCCACGTGCCGTAGTGCCAATAGACCCTCCCTGGTGATGGATCGCGATGTGACCTCTGATCAAGGGCAGCCCGCCCAACACAGGCGCGGAGAAACGGTGAAACCTATGCAGATCTCACGAACACAGCCCACAGCATGAGGCTTATAGCTGACGAACAAGTATCCGCCTTGAACCCATGATCCTGATAAATTTGGGCCGTAGTTTGAACATCATTCAGTAGCGTCTAGTGCCATTGAAGCCCGACTGAATGATTTCTTTAGTTTTCTGTTGTTTTTTTGCCCAATGATTTCATGGAAATGCTGCTGGAAAATGTATTTAAATAGCATCTAAAGCGAAAGTAATTGTATTTTAACAATCGCCTGTTTTCTCTCGTCATCATTCTTTGATGGATGACTCTTCATTTAGTAGAGACGTCAGGCGGTTACATTAATCATTTTATATTTATACTCAGCCTATTTGTATTTTTCTCTCATAGGAAAGCGGCATTGTCGGACTGTTTCGGGTGCTGACCGCGGTTGATGGACGAGCTCCTGAGAATCTGATTCACACGATCGGGGCTGATGGTTCTCACGGGTGATGCGGTAGCCGGCTACTGGTCCCGTTTTGGAGTTCCCGGAGCTTGTTTACCTAGCCGTCAAGCTCCGTTCGATAGTGCACTCCTAAGCCTGTCGTTCTAGTCGCCTCTCCTGTCGATATTATTGTGGTAACGGTGGGTCGCACGTGGGTTTGACCGCCCGTGAGTCGTGCACCCCCGTCCGTGGGTTCGGCCGGCCGTGGGCGAGATCCCGAGTGATGGCTATCGGGGTGTTTCTGCGGCGACTTTCTCGTCGGTCTCTCCTCTGACGGTTCCGTCACACGGCCCACGCAGACGGCGCACCCGGGTGTGCCGGTGGTGAAACACCCGCCGAGTCTGTCAGTGGAACGGCGAGGAGGTTTGGCTCACAGTCAGAAAGGTGCACTATGCTTTTTTGCTTGGGTCTTTTTGCTCTAAGTTATTGTGGTTTCTATGACTGGGTGACTGTTGAGCTCAAATTAGGTATATGTCAGTTGTCATGGAAAATATTTGATCCTGCCGGATCAAAATTTAACGGAATGGTCATGACTAATGACTATTCGATGTTGTCTAGAAACTGCGACACCGGTGACAGGCCGGGAGTAACGGCAAGCGATAGTGGGGGGGGGGGGGGGGGAAGGAAGGAGCACAAGGAATGACCTGGCTAGCTAGTGTGGTACTCCATTTCATTGGCTTACTAGTGCTGTCATTTGCACATGATTTATTTGCATTTTGCAAAGATTAGTGTCGTTTCTTGTAACCATAGTATATTCAGAATTCAGATTGTAGATGGCAATTTGATAGGACTGGTTTATTCGAGCTAGGTAACAGAGACAGTCTTGGATTGCGTGTCTGTGGTATTAGAATTTTAATGAATTCATATTTACTTGAAAACACTTAAGCTATTTATTACCTACATGACAAGCCATGCATTCATGCCTCCAAGAGTGTGGTTACATTAATTCATTTAGCCGCTACTGTGCATCATTTTGCATTGTTCCTCGAAATGCGTGACATTTGGTTGCGCACGCTTTTTGTTCACCATGGTGTTTAACTTCACATTTCCATTGGAAACATGCTGTTGTTTCTACTGATCGATTGGGGATAAGTCGGGCCGTGTCGCTGTCGTTTGTTATTGATTAGACGCCATGGTTCGGACCGGGCGCGCCTGGTGGTCCGTCTGTGCAGCGATGGGTCCATCAGTCCCCTCCCCCTCCGTCCTTGGACTCACCTGGGCGACTAATGCCCCGCGTTAACAGCCGGTGAGAGGGCCCCGTGACGACACGGTACGCCGGGACGATGGTGGACATCCGGTCAGGACGACCAGAACCCCTCGGAGGGCCGGTGGCCACCCCTCGCCGCGCTGGCTACCCGTCCCGCCCACACACAGCACACCTGCCCACTGGACGACGCAATGGCTCCGCCAGCAGTGCAGGATAGCGCTGGACACGGGGCGGGAAACGAGCAATGATAATGTTTGATTTTTCTTTATAAGGAAAAATATGAAGTGATGTGGGGTAAAATTTGGGGATTGCGACCTATATTGACCGTTTCATTTACTGGGAAGAATTGTTAAAGGGACCCTCCCGGCTCCCACCTTCAAAAAAGTTTATGAATTGGCATGAAAGTGATGTCGCTCGGTTCAGAAAGAGCGAAAACGAATATCTACCAAATTTCACCGAAAAATATTCACCGGTTTTCAAGATATTAAACTTTTACTTTTGTTTACTTTTTGGGATATCCGCTGTTCCTAGCGACTTTATTTGGAAGCAATAGTTTGGCAGCTGAAAGTGCGGCACTTGTTGCGCGCAAAGCAGCATATACCACCGCGTGCTACAAAACGTTTTTGTCAAACATTTAAAAATCGTTAGATATCTGCGCTGACGTCACACATTCAGAGGGGTATTCCTATGCATTAGCCCCTCTGAATCAAAATGCTGCAATTTTGAAATTCAATATTTCCGATTTAAGGCATTTCTCGATGTTGTGAGTGCCGAAACCGGTAATTGTGAGCCAGGGACCCCATTTTGGCTATCTCAACTCAAATCTAATGTTAAGGTTGGAGGGTCCCTTTAAGCCGCAATGTATTATTGACTGCTATGCTAACAGTGGTGCCTTCAAAGCATTCATTCAGTGGTAGAATTATAAAATGGGTCCGTTTTCTAATTGTGATTGATAGGTGAGTGCAGTGATTAAAATCCAATTGGGAGCGTTTGCCGCTTGTGTTTGTTTGCCCATTTCGCCGCTGGCAAAGTTGGACCGCATTGCGATGCGATCCAACTGACCGCGCGCGGCGGTGTTGTGGTCCGACTGCGGTCCGGCCCTCCTGCCGCGGACTGACCGCACGGCTCCTGAAAGCTATAGGATCGTCCTGTGATCCAGCTGCGCTTATCTCCTGGCGACTTAGCTTTCTGCCCCCAGAGCCATGGCGAGTACATGTGGGTGCTCACTTCCCAAGTTCTGAGACCGACGACTCGATAATGTTATGTATTCCCATCGGTTCTGAGACGATGTCAGGCGTAGGCCTTGGTCATCCAACCAGAGTCCGAGGGATTCGCCAACTTCCCGAAATGACTCTCCGACTCCTCATAATGACTCGCCGAATCCTGAAGTGACTCTTTAGCTCCTGACGTGACTCGTTTCCCACAGACGAGCCGCCGGGCCACCGTGAGTGTGTTCACAGCTGACTGGGCCCCGGTCTGCGGTCATTATTGGACCGATGTTACCTGTCGATTGGTGTCGCCGTCCGATGACTCGACTGGCGATCCGCTGGTGGGAGCTACAGTCGAGAAACTTCTTTCTTTTTGTAAAAGTTGTGTTTTCCACTTATTTATCTCCCTTCCATTATTTTACATAGTTCTAATTTCTGTCCTCGTTGACGGTTGAAAGGCTTGGGTGCGTGGTTGGTTCAAGTGAATGCCTGGATTTGAGTGTTTTGACCTGCCAGCTAGTATACATGGCAGGTGTAAGCTTCATCCCAGTATCCCTAGCTTTGCTTTGCTTGTTTCAACTTTGTCCGCTGCCGTCACAGTCCCGCCTTGCGGTGCGCTGACCGGTCGGAAGGTTTGCACCTCCACGGCGCTCTACCTGGCGAGTTCCACTACGGACCGTCGTCGGCAGGTGGCGCTGGTTTTGCACCTCGCCGCGCGCGCGCACCGGCACCGTCGCCGCCGCTCCGTTCAGGCAGTAGTACGACGACCGTCAGCCGAGAAGGTTCCGTGCGCCGTCGATCGTGTGTCCCAACAGCTGACTGCTGAGACGAACTGTGTAGACTGTGAAGGAACACTGCGGGAACATTGGTGTGCAATTCGCTGTCTGTGGTTGGTGAAGTCATCGGCGCAATACTCGTGGCTGTGACCTATTGAGTGGCGTAGAGTTTCCTTGGTTACTCCGACGCTTTCGTGACTGAATTACGCTCGCGGACTGATCGATCAGCCAGGACTTCGTGGCCGAACTATGAGCTAACCCTCGCTCGGGAGTTGGATTAGGACTGGTGTGAAACGCGGACTAAGTGTGCCTGGTCCAGCGGCTGCGTGCGTCCCTGGTTTTCATCGTGTTCATCCGTGAGCTGTCCTCAACACCGCTGTGTCATTCGCTACTGGTCGCTGCAGTAGAGAAAAACGCGCCGGGGCCTTCGGGTCTCCTCCGTCGTACCGGGGCCGGCGGCGCGCTCCCTGACCGCGCCGGCCCGCCGAGCTCACCGGGACCGGCGAGCGTGGCACAAAGACCGAACACCGAGAGCCGGTGAGAGCGACGCGCATGCAGGCCGGCGCCGGCAGCGTGACAGCGCCTCGAGCCATGCGGGACCAGCTGCGGCCGGCCTCCTCGCGACAGCGGCTCACCGACGGGCCCGGTAGCGCGCGCTCGCTGCCGCGCAAGTTCCGCCGCGGCTCGCCGTCGCCGGCGACGCGACGCGCCCGCGCGGCGGCGCGCACCATCGCCTATTCGCAAGGTGGGTGGATGAGTCAGGGGACGGGGAAGGCCGCAGGAGGGATGCCGGCGGCGGTGGACAGGAAACGGCCGCTCGGCAGGAACGGTGGGAGACAGGAAACCGACCAACCGTCCGACCGACCGCTCCACGGCGTCTCGGGGGGGGGGGGGGGAGGGAGGGAGGGAAACGCTGAACACCTGGCTCGCCGTGCTCGACACGCCGCGCCGCGACAGGTCACATGCTGAGTTTGTTTGTCTGTCCTAGTGCTCCTGCTGGACCCATCTAAACTTTGGGCTGTTCGCTAGTGGGTGGTGTGACTGCGATGTCGGAGTTTCCTGGATTGTGTATACTTTCCTCTCGTACCAAGTCAGGTCAGGTCAGGTCAGGCAAGGTCAGTTGGTTCGCTGAACCCTCTCCCATCCAGATGTCCTTGTCCCTCTGTTGTGAACTTGTGACTCCCGCCGGCCTGTATTATAGCCTCGCGGGGGCGGCGGCACGATTAGCTATGCACCATTGCACAGTGCATCGACCGGCTTTGTTTTCCTCATGGACATCACCCACCGAGCGGCACGGGGCTGATGACTCGCCGTCGGGCCTTTGTCCCTGCTCGACACCCGGTGGGCGGAGAGCGAGACCCGCCCGGCGGGAGAACGCATTGCGAAATCAGCCGCTCTTGTGCTCCGACATCGCGCGGAATGTCAGACTGTCAGCCAAACGGGCGCCGAGCACTGGTCGGTGCCGAGGTGAAGTGCCTCGTCAGTCGACGTCGAGAGGCGCCCGAACGGTGGCAGAAATGGTAACGATGACGGGGCCGATGACGGTGGCGGAAACGGGTGTGTTTATTGTTGTGTTTCATAACTTTCCCCTCACGCACTGCCACGCTGACCTTGGAGGCAAGTTTGAACTGACCATGTGACGGTCACACTGACGGCTACCGATGATGACGGTACGGATGACGAAGACGAACAATGACGCCGCGATGGCGTGTCTTCAGCCCCCCTCCCCACAGTCAGCGTCACCGACAGATGGGATCGTGACGCCGTGACGCCCGCGCTGAGTCACGCCGTGACGCCTGACGTGACGCCGGCGTGACGCGCTCAGTTCCGGACTGTGACGCGGACCTCTGCGTTCAGCCCTTTAGCCGCGACTAGCGGCTCCTTTTGGTTATCAACCCTTTTGTATGTTTTCGGATTCATGACACTACATCAAAGTACCGACGTTTGGATGCTTCACAGGATTATTCAAAGCACCGATGTCGATGTTTGTGACTAAGAAAGCGGGTCATCGCCTGCGAGGGAGTCCCTGGCCGCCTTCTTTGTGTGGCTTATTAGACCCGTATTGACGCACTCGCTCACCTGCACGTTTTTGCCCTGGGACGGGAAATATGTGCTCACGACCTACCCCGATACTGGTGGACGCGGCCGTGGCAGCGGCGCCTCGCGACACGCGGCTCCGGCGATGTTAGTTCAAAAACAGGGGAGTTTGGTGTCGCGCGGGGGACCGTGACATCACGATGCGCGACCGGGGCTGGAGGTGTTTCACGAGCTCACGACGCCACTTTTTAGCTTTGCACTTCAGTGCTTTAATAATTCTGGCGCGTGTATCGCGGCAGATCAAAAGATAAATCACTTAATCAACCAGTTGGTGTTCCTATCTATCAAGGGTTAGAACTTGAGATTGCTTTACCTTCAGGCTATTTCTATAAGCACTATTCAAGGGTTTTATTTACGGAAGTTCTGCATCAACTTGTCGATACGATGCAACCGGCCGATAATACTCCATCATTATCTAGTGCAGCTGCCATCTATCTCAGAGTCAAGCGGCCGATCGGTACACAGTACATACATTCGACTGCAGTACACAGATGCCATTCATTGGAAGTCCTTACGGCACTTCAGTCTCCTAAGCCACCATCAGCCGTGATATCACCTGCGCTATCGCACTCGTGCGTCACTCGCCCATCATCTCAGACGTTTTCTCGGAAGTGCGATCACGTTTTAAATCTGTGACACCGTTCGGATGACCTAAACCGTGCCATTTCGAGCGATAGCGTCTCTTGTTGGCTCTCAGCTATTGCCGGTTGGTAGCGTTGTATTATTGGCGGACGGGTCACAATAGACCGGCTCCCGTGTCGACCGGTGTGGTCTCTATCCCTCGGGTAGCGACCGGCGCCGGGCAAAACATGTGTTTACCGACACCGATTGATGCTGTGGGAGGGGACGGGGCCGGACGGCACGCCCCGCTTTGTTGCAGAAGGCTGAGCGCAGCGAACGGTGGCGGGCGATATCACGGTCAGGGGGGGGGGGGGGGGCGTTGGCGCTGGTCACAGCTAGCGCGCTTGGGTGCTCAGATGACCTGGTTGATGTCCATGTGTCTCACTCTCACTCTGGTCAGCAAAGCTCAGTAAGTTGCTGATTGCTACTGCGCGGGCCGGTATGTGGCAACGCTCTTGGCAACTCTGCAGGCCCGGCGCGGTGACTTCGGTCAGCAGTGTCAGGGCCGGGGTCAGCCGCGGATTGGCCGCACGCTCTCCGTACTGTGGAAGGTCGCCAGCCGAACGGCCGTTGGAGAGGACACTCCCTCGGCCGAGCGACGGTTGGAGCCGGCCGGATCGGCGCGCCTTATTAGGAGGCGCACAGGTGGGCCTGTCCGGCGGTGGGTGCGATCCTGGGGCCCGTGCCGGGAGCTGCCAGGACCAGCAACGGTCACCGGGTCCCCACAATCGTTAGAGGTGTGCAGGTGGAGTGGATGGATGCTGTGACGTGATGCGCATACGATAAGCGAATGCTCAGACGACAGACAGCGCTTGTTTACTGCTTCATTAGCGTGCTGCAGGAATTTGATGGCACGGCTGCAGAGCTTATTGGGTGTTGGGTATGTTGTGATGCTAGATAGTTTGTTCCCGTGTCTTTTCTTATGCCCTGGCTACTCTCGTGGTCTGTTTGGTCTCCAATCGAGCGATTTTCTCGACGATCTTGTTGGGAGAATGTCCAGGTGGCCGGTGACCTCCCGCGTCCGACGAGCGCCCGTCTCCGCCACTGAAGGTCATCTCCGTCAGCGCAGCCAGCCGCAGAGTTTTTATCAATGAATTACCAATGGCCCCAGCTCCTGGTCGACCCGCTGATCGCGTCGATAAGGACCGGGCGGGGGCGTTCCGTGCGCTGTCTCCAGCTCTATGTTTGATGCCCGAACCGTGTCTATTTACATCGGCGTCCGTGAACGGAATTGATGGCGTTCCGTTCGTGCTGCCTATGACAGCGTTTCTCCGGGGACTGTGCGTGAGCCGCACGTAGAACACGCGAGATCGCCGCCGCTCTCGAGCACCGGGGTCACCGCGCTCGTGGGGTCGCCGTCTTCGAATGAGGCAAAGAAAGGCTGTTTTCGAAACCCTCACTTGGGAACTCATGGCTAAGTAGGTGTTATTGCTGTGGGTGTTAATTTCTGCTGGCTAGGACATCTGATCGCGTGTAAAGCGTTCGCTGGTTTGGTTGCCCCTGAGAGACCATAAACGTTGGAATCAAAGGCCCATGAACGAATGGCTTTGTCCCACTTATATCAGGAGAAATCAAATCCTTGTTAAACCACCCTTTCTCACAACGGAGTAGAGGTCACTCCAATTTTCAGTTCTCTCCAACGATAGGCGTTATTCAGTGATCATTAAGTTTCTCGGGCTGTGCGATAGGCCAAAATCACAGCGTTATCCCATGTTCAGAATTGCCGTAGGAGTCCCCTCTCGACTGCTTTCGATCGCGCTATCTCGGCTCGTCCGTTAGATATGCTTGGTCAGACGGGCTTTGGCTTACTACGGACGCCTAGAGAGACACAGTGGTGCTGGCAAACTAATATGGAGGCACAGCGTTCTCTGAACAGCTACCGTCTCTGCATGGCGCACCGCTTTGCTGAGCAGTTTGGTTCAAAAGCTTGGCTCTGTTTTACATGGATGGGGAAACCACAAGAAAGTCACTCTCAGTTTTCCGAGGTCGGTTTTAAGTAACTCTGAACATCAGCCTGTGAGAGAAGGCTGGCCGGCCCCATTTGACCATGACACTCTCGTCTTGAGGCGCGACCGGGGCGTCGGATGCCGTGCCCTTACCATGGGCGCGGTCTGTCCACCCACCCATTCACTCAGTCGTCCTACAGAGTGATCAGGGTGACCCTCCGGCGCCGGCCTTCGGTGCCGTCTGGAGGCTGTCCGCCCATTTGACCGTCACCAGCGCCCACACAGCTTCACTGATCGGTGAGATCGGTTACTGTGGCTGCTGGTGCTGTTTGGCGGGGCTGGTCGTGGTCACGAAACTGATAGTGCAACCCTACGGTCAATGCGTGGAGCTCATAGACTGATTGCCCTTCAGAAAAACGGGCAGGAAAAGCAAGTGGGTCGCGTCTTTGATTTCAGCCCTACATGTGTGCTATAATAACGACGCCTTATATTTTTGTCGCATTGCATCAGACTTGTTGCGATCGACCCATGCTGGTTCCCAAGAAACATTAGGTATGCAAATGGCATGCAGGCCATTGCTTACAGTGCGGATTCCGATATTGATATATTCTGCGAAGCGAGTGTCGTGGAACTGGCTCCCTGCCCCGTCTGCGGTCACGACTAGACATTCCAGCTGTGACCCGATCGTCGGCCCCTGCTCCGCCGACCCTAACGAAGGCTGCCGCATTATTACATATGCGACTCATTATAGTCACTTGTCACCAAGGGGTGCCGAGATCTAGTCTGCCATAGCTCACCTAGGCCTGTCGTATCCCGCCATGCAGATCAGCCGTGTTCTGCCATGGCCTGCGATACTCTGTCTTGTCGGTCAGCCTTGGCTCGCTGACCGCCCTGGCCCGTCGTGTCGTGCCATGTCACCGACCGGGTCACAGATCGACCGTTCCGGGAACGCGGCCCGATCGGGGCCACCTGTCGACCCGTCGTGTCGCGCCGTGACGTGACGTGACCCGCTGGCGTGTCGTGACGCCGCGGTGACCGGTGACGACGTGACGATGGCGCAAGGCGAGCTCGGCACGCTGGAAACGAGCTGGCTGTCGTGACGGTTCTGCTAGATCAACAAGCCGTCTGGGCGGGCCGTCCCGCCTGCGGAAGATGGGACCGAAAACGCTTCTTCCAGCTTTAGTGTGTTGCTCGTGCTGTAGGGTCCGTTTGTTGTCACCGCGCCGGCTACCGTTTGACAACGGTTTGTCGCGCTATGGTCATGTCGCGCCGCCACCGGACGGAGCGACTCCATTGCCGGCCATGTGACCGGTTTGACATGCGGTGGTCGGTGTAGAACATGCGGTGCCTGGTTACTGGTTTGAATGAACGCCATCTCGCCCAGCCGGTGTATGCGGGCGGAGTGTCACTGCTCCGGCTGTCAGCGACTGAGGTCGGGCTGTCATTGAGCGATTGAGTCACCGTGTGTGTCAAGCCGTGGGCTGCAGAGAGACGGGCGGGCGTCTGACCTGGCTTCTTTGGAGGTGGTCACATCTGGGCGTGAGCGTGAGCGTGGGCTTGATTGTTAGTGTGAGCGTGAGTGTTAGCGTGAGCCTGAATGCTGTAGACCAGGTGTCTGGCTCGAAGGTGTGGGCTGCGCCGGACGCCGGCGTTAACACGCGCACTGCAGCGGGTCTGAGCCGAACACGAACTGCAGGGGGGGTTGAAAACAACCCCCCCCCCCCCTGAGATCTCGAAAACGGCGCAACGTAGCGACAAGCGGTAAACGGCGTTGGATAGGTTGAGATGAGATCTACAAGAAATACTAAGATCATTTTTGGGTCAGGTCAAAAACGAGGTCACCAGAGGTCACCGAAGACAAAATGTTACGATTTTCACAACAGGAATTTCGCGGTAGTTTTTTTTGAATAACTTGTCTTGCACACAAGACAGAGGATCGATTCGAACGCCATCGTTCTTAGCTCGTCAAGGCGCATCGAATGATATATGATATGACCTCGAAAGGTCAAGTTGAAAAATTGACCTCAGGTCAAGGTCATGACCTGACCGAAATAGGTCATGTTGCATATCATTCGATCCGCATTGACGAGAAAAACACGATAAACGTCGAACGGAGTCTCTATCTCTATTCAATCCCAAGTTATTGAAGAAAAACCGCTGGTGACCTCAGGTGACCTAAGATGACCTGGAGATCACCTTCCAAAGGTCATAAGTGATATGTTTCGGTGAAATCAGCAACAGGGACCTGTAATACTATGATCCTGAGCGTATTGAAGTCATAGGATGGCATTCAGAGTAAGTTGAAATTTCTCCCATTGACTTATAATGGGCCGGTCGCAAAAATGACCTGACCTTAGGTCATCGATATAAAAATTCCGAGATATACAAGTTGTAGCTCGTGATGACTTTACTATTTCCTGTGGGTTTCAAGATCATATCTCAACAACTGTGGGCTTGGTGGGATTGCAAACTTCGAAATTTACGTTTCGAGGTAGGGTCACTAGACCTGACCTGGTGACCTGACCATAGGTCACCTGGGGTCAAAATTTTTACTCAAGGTGTGCAAAAGTTGGGAGAACAGGTATGCAAAATTTGGCGGCGCTACGCGCCGCCGTTTTCTCGCGATTTGCGAAAAACCACAGGGGGGGGGGGTGAAAACAACCCCCCCTGCAGTGCGCGTGTTAATCGTTTCGCCCCTGCCACCCACCTCCGTCGGCGGTAATTGGAGCGTCGGCCGCCCCCGGCCACCTGAGCCGATGATGGTGGCGGACGGACGCGCCGCGCGGCCAGGTGTGGTCCCCTCACCTGTCTCCCTCCCCTTCCCGTCCGTCGGTCCCGTCTCGTTCCGTCTCCCTCCAGCGGCGCCGGAGCGGCCGCAGACGCCTCAAGGTCGTGAGGTCGCCGCCGGCCGCGGCTGAGGGTTGTCGGCCGCTGCTCCCGGTCACGGAGAGGTGCCCCCGAGGCTCCACCCGCCCCCGCCAGGCGCTGTCAACGGCCGCTGAGTCGCTGGCCGGCGCGATCCGAGTCAAACGGTGACAGAGCGTCTGCCACCTGCGGCCAATGCACCCGCCCGCAGCGCATTGAAATTCGGCAGAGCAGGTGCTGCTAGTCGCGCAAGTGCATTGCTGCATGTTCATAGCACGGGCACTGCGCCGGTACAGCTTTCTGTTGTTTTATTATGCTGGATTCCTTCGTCTGTTGTGTCGGGGTGTGTGAGCCTGAGTCGGAATTCAGCGCGGGCCTGTTTGTCTGTGTGAAGGCAGCCCAGCTGGGCTCCGAGGCGGCACAATCCACCTCTCGGCCGGCCCAACACGCGCGGCGTGCGACACAGTCTGACAGTACGGATTACATACGGCGGTGACGTGGTTCGCCGGCCCGACATCCAGCCCCGCTCCAGTGGAGGAGCGCCCAGGCCCACACGCGCTGCGGGCCGGCCGTGGTGTCGAGCTCTGCGCCCAGAGAGCGAGCGGAGACCGGTTTCAGCTGTGATCCGCCCTCGATTCGGGTGGCCGCGTGGGAGCTCTGGCGAACGGCCTTGTCGGTCACTGTGTGATTGTTTGCCAAAGCCGGCTCTGCAGGAGGCTGTCGGACCAGAAACTGTGCAACCGCGGCTGGTGAATTTACCAGCGTTTTAAAGCCGCTACCATATTTTTAGTTTAAAAACAATTTGGGAGATCGAATAAAGAATTGATCGGCGGCCCACCTCTTGCCCTTTTTGTTGATTGTCACATAGTATTTGTATTGGTATTGTTTAAAAATATTCCAAAGCTCCATAATATAACATGGATATACCGAGTGCCAAATCAGGTTAAAAGGGAACAACAAGACTTTTGTTGTTCATAACACAAAGCAATCACCCTCATCGCTCACAATCCTAGTTTGTCACTCCGACCTTGGCGGGCGGGCTGCGGATCGGACTGTATCAGCATCACTGTCAGTGAATGCCATCCCCGCCACTGCTGCGTGGATGGAACAAGTGCGTTTGTTGTCAACTGGTCTATACGCTCGTCAATGTACGGAATCCCCAGCGCTGGGTCGGCACTGATACACCACTTGCAACGCTGTTAGACAAGGGCCGTGTTCGGACTGCCGACGCGGGATCATGTTTCCGTTCGTGACAGTTGTGGAGGGCAAGATCAGCACGATATGGGCTTCAACACTGAGTCGTCCGGCTTCCGTTCTCCCGGTCGTGCCATGCCGTGTCACACGGGAATATATTGAGAAAGGCACGCCGGCTGCAGCCGTGTTAGCCGAATGACCGAGTGATGTTCGAGATATTGTCATATGTCGTGCAGACAAACGGAAGTGAAATCGGTATATCTATGGGTTTATGGAACAACGGTTTGATGTTAACCCTCTGCAGGAAGCATGTTGGTGTGGTTGTGCATTATTGCAGTGAGTGGTCGATTTCTTATATTTCATGCATAGTACACTGATGCTCCTTTGTGGACTATCCTGTATTCAAAACATTCCCATCATCCCTGTGCGTTTGCACTTCTTTGAGTGGTTGTGCGCTGGGCACTTCGCTGAGTGTTGTTTGTCCAATGCTCAACCACTCAAGTTTCAACGCAGTGCATTTGAACTTTGCTCACTACCGTTTAAGATCACTATGACACTGCCCACATAACTGTTGCCTTCACGAGCCCCGCGACATGCCAACAGCACACTCCATCCGACACGTGCTACCTGCGCCCGCCATGTATTACTTGTGCTACATCCGTAGCACGTGGTCATTGCGGAGCACGCTCGACCAGTATCCAGTGTCGGTCATACGCGGCCGTTTTCTAGCGCATAGTTTGTATTCAGCGGCGCGTACAATGCCGCTACACGCCCTGCAGCGCATTGATGTGACGGTGAGGTGGCACAGATTTCGCAGGGCTGGACACGGTGATAACCGTTGAAATCGGTATGTGTGGGTCTGCTCGGAGCCTGGAGGTTGTTAGTTGCTGACCGTTCGCATAAAGTACCAATGTTGACTGTGATGGCCGACTGTTGCTCACTAAATCCCAATACTGAACGCTGACCGCTGTTACTGTTGATGTTTGTGGTATTGATTGATGTTTATGTGATGACTGTAATATCCTATGTTATGTAGTATTGATTATTTACATCCACTTGCCTCAACTGTTTAGTTCCTCATCTGCTGAGTTACCGCCTAACTGACCTCCCGTCTCTTTTGCCTTTCGCAGAGGAGTTTGTAGCGCACAACTCCAATGTCAACTGCCTGGCGCTGGGTCATAAGTCGGGCCGGGTGCTGGTCACCGGCGGAGATGACAAAAAGGTCAACCTGTGGGCCGTCGGCAAGCCCCACTGTATCATGGTGAGTACTGACCGTGATGCCCTCTCACTTTGCTGCTCTCATCTCATCGCTATTCGTCGTCTCATCACAACTGACAGCTGAAACTGGGGAGTGATTGGGTAGGTCGGCACTCCCTTTTAGTGTTGAACGCCGTTGAACATTGGCTTATTTCTTAGAAGGCAGGGGGCACGGTTTCGTCTGTCGCTTTCACTCGCGTGCTTGTGCGTGTGTGTGAATGGGCTGGTCAGTTGGTCGCAACCTATCGCACCTGGGGTCATCATCGGCGGTAGGCGGGCGGCGTCACCTGTGGCTCGCCTGAGACACAGGTGTAATCACCTGAGACAGGCAGCGGCAGAGTAATCTTGGTCGTGTCCGTGGTCCGTTTGGGTCAGGGTCGACCGGCTGCGGGTCTGTTCAGCTAACGCGACACGACAGGTCGAAGTAAGACACAGGACACAGAGCTGCGGTCGCTGTGGTCGAAAAAGAATCAGGGAGGAGTTTTCACAGTATTTTTACTGGACATGGCCGCACCATTTGCGGCTTATGTGATCGGACAGAACAGAAGCTTTGGAGATCTTGGTGACCGACGACAAGAAAGGAGGATCTTGGTGACCGGGCGAGACAACTCTCGCGTTCACCATGGCAGTCCAGGACAAGTTCTCACGGTGTGTTTTGTTCTGCTCGGGAAAGGTTAGAAACTCACACGGTCTTTTTATCCCGATGGGGCTCATCACCTCTGGGGTGCAATGACTCCCAGAAAATCGGCGCCGGTCTCCAATGGATCCTACTCAAGGTGTTTTTCCTTCTGATGTGCTATAGTCTCAGTCTTGTTTCCCTCCTCCAACGGGCGGCTCGGTTTCTGTGTGCTTGTGATAGGTCTCTTCGAGGTCCCGAAGGGCGGCACTGTGTGATACCAAGCCGCGTGGGACGCACCGCCGCGGCGCCGCCCTTCCGGCATCCTCTCGACGGGAGAAGTGTGGGCGGTGGCCATTCTCACCACTTCTGTATTGGCCACGGTATGGATGCCGGTAGCAGTGAATGGCGATTAAATTCGGATCATCCCAAAACCCAATCTCATCCTCCGGAGCCCCGTCCGGCAGCTGGGACACCCTCCCGGCACTCAGGCCCCGTTGTCGGTACGGTGGACCGGTACGATGCTGTTTCGGTGTGGGTTACCTGGCCGGGCGGTCCACCGGACAGGCGGCGGTGGGAAGACGGCAGCCGGGCGCCGTCGTGCCGGTGACGCCACTTCCGCCGACGGTGGGACGCTCATCTCACTGTTATGTGTCGAGTAACTGGACCGTTGGAGAGACGACTCGGACCGGTTCGGTGCGGACCGCTTAGCGCTGCGTGGTGGCTGCGAGTGACGAGGCAGCTAAAGGGCTGGGGATGAAATAGGATTGGCTTTTTGTGACCGGCGTCCGCACGTGTAGCTCCGCTGAACAGTTATCCGCACGCGTCACATGTTAGATGTCCAAACCGGTCACCGGGAAGGAACAGAGACGGACCCGACCTTGTTTGGGCTAGTGGGTCGTGTCAGGGACCGCGACTAATTTTATGTGACAAGTTTTTTTTTTTACCTAAGTGGCTTTTGGATGGTATTCTGATGTCGGTCAGGTGTTTTTGCTCGTCTCCTCTGTTGTATTTATCTCGGCACAGTTTTTATCAAAGAGAGCTACCATGGCAACTGGGTCGACATCTAATGGGCGCCGTAATATCGTCTATCTCCACCCATGTTGAGCTGTAAGTCTTCTACGAACCATCCCCACTGCCACCTAACGAGCAATGGACGTCGAAGTGGTAAAAAGTCTGGCTCTCTCTGGGTTTTTACGTCTGGTCATTTGTCACACCTGTCAGTACACACACTGAGGTCGGACGGACCGCTGCCTCTGGCTGATGTGTGAGTGGCTCCTCGTCCCCGGGTGGTCACGGGGCCGGTCTGGGGCCCTGCTGACCCCGTCCTGTCCCTGACCCAGCGCTGAGCGTCCTCCCGGTGGGCACACAGTCACACCTTGTAGCCGACCCTGGCCGCTGATACAGAGTGGCAGCAAGGAGTGCCACCGCCGCGGGCGTGTGTGCGGATGCATCTGGAGGACGGCCTGTCTGACTGTTTGTCTGTCTATCTGCTTGTCGGTATGTTTACCTTTTTTGTTTGTCTGTTGTTTTGTCTGTCTCCCTGGTTTTGTCCATTAGCTTCTGCCTTTTTCTTCTCATTATCTTTCTTTCTTGTATCCCATCTTTTACATATTTGCTCTCTGCCTTTATCCTTTGTCTGAGCTGCTCCGCTGATTAGCACCATTACCCACCATTACCGCTCGTATCCACGCCGGCGTCTGTTTTTGGGTCACTCTCAGCCCCACCGTCCACGTGCTACCCGGCCCGATACGCCACGGCTAATGGTGCCTCTATCCGTTTAATTGGTATCGGGCTGATTGCGCCGGGCGTGTACCAAATTGGTGGCTGTCTGATACCAGGCGATAGCGGCGCGGAGGTGGCTGCTATCGCGTCTGGGGAGATGGCTCGTCTGCTTGACGGTGGGTGGTCGTCTCTCTTCTCCCGTCTCCTATCTTTCGTATCGGCTGTCGCTTAGTCGCCGCCTTCCATCCCCGCCCCTGCTCTCCCGCTACACACCTCCCTTCGCATCTGCCGCCTCTACATAGTTCTTTCACCATCTTGCCTCTCACTTCGTCTTTCGTCTCCCGTCTTCGTCTATTCTCCGCCTCGTGCCCGTCTCGTCTCCCTTGTCGCTGAGTTTGGCCATATCGGTCGTCGACTGTGCCGTGCGAGCGTGGTCTGCTCCACCATATCGGGGCCGGGGGAAGACAATGCCCGCGTCTGTGTGGCCTGAGAGTCGGCCGATGGTGTGAGATAGCCGTGTCGGTGTGCGGTCCTGGGAGCGGGGTAACGCCAACCGTCCATCACTGCTGTGACTGTGGCCGCGCTGACCACAGGGGGCACGTGACCCGGACATCAGACTGGGCCGGGCTCCCAGGCAGGTCATGGGAGAGTAGCGCTGGGTTGCTCCGGCACCTCACTCCGGGCCGGACCGGGTCGGTGGGCGTTGTTTGGCGGTCTGCCGCGGCTGTCTGACAGGATTAATGGTAGTCATGGCACCATTAGTGACCCGGCCCGGTCACTGGACGTCCGGGCTGGCTTCCTGCGCAGCACCATCTGCCGTGACCTGACCCTAATCAGGCGGGAACGGCTGCCGGGTCAGCTGAGGTCAGCGGGGGTCAGACAGGGTCAGCGGTGGCCCTGGGACCGTCCCGGATAGACGGCCTGGTCAGCGGGTGGCCGCTGACTGGGGGTAATTACCTCTCTCTTCCTCTCTGTTCTCTGCTCTCCTCTTCCCCTTGCTCTTTCGTTCCTTCGCTCCCTCCTTCCTCCCACGCCGGCTAATGGCTGACTGTCGAGTCTGAGCCGTAATGATCCTCCGCCGCCGGGCGGGCCTGAGGCGCCGTCCGACACTCGGCCCACCTCCCTCCCCGCTCCCCATCCCTCCTCACCTGCCCCACCGTCCACCTGGCTTCACACGAGTTACACCGGGCCGAGCGCGCCCGCCGGCGTGGACTTGCTTTGATGCAGTACCTTGTGGTGTTCGCTTAGGGAGATGTGAGTCGTAGTTATTAGACGATAGAGATCGGGAATTAAACTGAGCCATTTTAACGCCTGTTGTGAAATGCGGAGCTCCCTCGCATCATCCTCACGCGACCAATACCGATGTTTTGATGGTTAACTGGGGTGTCGAAATACAGGACAGTTGGACCCCAGAACTCAAGTGTTTTATCACAATTAGATTAGATTAGATTTATGAATTGATTCTGATTATGGCTGTTAGACGTTAGATACTATGGACGGTAGATTAGAACAAGACTTCGATTTATAAACGTTTGAATCCAATCACAACATCTGGCGACCGTGACAGGACTCAGGACTAGCGAAATGGAAGCTTACATTGAAGTCGCAGCTAGACATGGATTGACAGGCCATGGATGAGATAATAATGGATTGGTGTCTTCGCAGTTTTTGGCGACATTGAGCTCAGGCCTGCCATCTAGCGGGAGAATTATCGTAAGTTAGGAGCAAGCCGAGTGAACGCCGCTGATTAGCATTGTGACACACGGGAGTGTGGTGTAGTAGCAGGCTTGTTGTGCAATTTTTCAAAAGGTTATGTCTTTATATGTCAGTAAAAGCGAAGAAATCAATAGATTTATGTGCAGGGTCAGTAATAAGATAAGCAGTTCCATGTTATTTCTTCATTAAATCGTGAAACAGGGAGTTATTGGAGACTCCGCCAGCACGTGTCGTTTTCGCTATTTTTCACATGAGTCTTTACTTGGCCTAAATCAAACAAATTGTCCGATCAAAGAGCAAAACGAACGTAAGTACTATCTATAAGTCTAATGAAAAAGTTGAACGGAATTGCTAACGTCATTGCCGCTCAATATGTCATTCAAGACGCTCTATGAAAAGGACCCAACCAGTGCTGTGTAGTCGATGAAATTTCAGTGACTTTGACTCCAACTCCGATTCCGGTATCCAAATATCGACTCCGACTCCTCCGGGCAGAACTGTCGATTCACACAGACTCCGACTCTGACTCAACTCTGCAGCCCTGGTAAGTCTGTGGAGTCGATGACTTTTCAGTGACGTTCGACTCATACTCCGATTACAGCTTTTAAAAATCAACCGACTCCGAGTCGGAACAGAACCGCTGGCTCTGACTACAACTCCGCAGCCCTGGCCCAAGATAGCCGCCTAAAACAACTTTGGTGTGTGATCTTCTTCGTACATTGTTAATGTTATGTTAAACAAGAAGTGGAAAAGGGAGGCGAAGCCTTCACAAACAAGGATCTCCTGTTGCGGATCAATCAGCTGCTGGAACAGAAAGGCATAAACACCATGCATCTCATTTCATCGTTTTCCTAACGATTCTGCACCAATGTAAGCACTGATCAATGCAGTGCGAGCATCGATGTGACATTTGTGTACGAAGTCTGAGTGTTATCCGCCCAGCCGTT